GAAAGCCATAGTTTGAAAAGTATGGCTGCCCGGGCGGATGCCCAAGGCAGACGCCTGCCCACCTGTTTCACTAAAGCTCTCTATCTCTGAAGAACACAAGAATAGCAAGAAAACTAAAAAGACACATTGGCTGGCATGCACACTAGCTACACACCCCTCCCACACGTACACAATTCCCTTACAATGGATGTGCTAAACCACACCCAATGGGACCTAGGCCCGGGCCCTGACCAAACTATTCTATTTTCCCAACACATGACCTCTCTTCTAGCCATTTGATAACATGCATTAAATTAATTATATAAGCCTAAATCGATTGTAAAGCAATTGAACTTATTTTTCCTATCTAGGTGTTTTGTGTCCATTGTCCGTCCTCTCACTATCCTTCCTCTGTTTCCCCTTTTTGCCTCTAATAACAGAAAGTTTGCTCTCATCATCTGAATGTTCTTTATTTAAACAATACTTATTTATTATATATGTATATGTATTTTCCTCACACATATAAGAGAGAACATGCGGTATTTCTCTTTCTGATCCTTAACACATTTCATGTTTAACTTAACGCAATTTTTCTCCAACCTAATTCATGTTGCTGCGAGTGGCAGAATTTTAGTCTTTTTTATACCTGAGTAGTATTCCATTGTGTATATATACAACCTTTTTTGTTATCCAGTTGTCCGTTGATTGACATTTTTTAAAAATATTTTTTTTGGGGGGGAGTATTTATTTTCTTCCACTTACGTGAACTAATTTCAGTTATGCATAAAAGTTATAGCAATAGTACATGAAGTTCCCATATACCCTTCACCCAAATTCCCCAGTTTTTATTTTTTTTCCCTTCAAAATTTTATTTTATTTTGTCAATATACTATATGGTTGATTATTGTGGCCAATTACCGAAACCTCCCTCCTTCCTCCCTCTCACCCCACCCTCAAAACAATGTCCTTTCTGTTTGCTTTTTGTATCAACTTCAAGAAATTGTAATTGTTGTGTCTTCTTGTCTCCCCCACGCCCCCGGTTTTTGTGTGTATTTATTTATTTTTAGCTCCCACAAATAAGTGAGAACATGTGATATTTCTCTTTCTGTGCCTGACATGTTTCACTTAATATAATTCTCTCTAGATCCTTCCATGTTGTTGCAAATGGCAGTATTTCATTCTTTATTACAGCAGAGTAGTATTCCATTATGTAGATATACGACATTTTCCGTATCCACTCATCTGATGATGGACATTTGGGCTGGTTCCAACTCTTAGCTATTGTAAAGACTGCTGTAATGAACATTGGAGAACAGGTATACCTTCGACTTGATGATTTCCATTCCTCTGGGTATATTCCCAGCAGTGGGATAGCTGGGTCATATGGTAGATCTATCTGCAATTGTTTGAGGAAGCTCCGTCCCATTTTCCATAGAGGCTGCACCATTTTGCAGACCCACCAACAATGTATGAGAGTTACTTTTTCTCCACAACCTCGCCAGCATTTATCGTTCACAATCCTTTGGATATTAGCCATCCTAACTGGAGTGAGATGGATCTCAGTGTGGTTTTGATTTGCATTTCCCGAATGCTGAGTGATGTTCAGCATTTTTTTATATGTCTGTTGGCCATTCGTATATTTTCCTTTTAAAAATTCCTATTTAGCTCTTTTGACCATTTTTTAATTGGGTTGCTTGTTTTTTGCTATAAAGTTGTTTCAGTTCCTTGTATATTCTGGATATTAATCCTTTGTCCGATGCATATTTTGCAAATATTTTCTCCCACTCTGTTGGTTGTCTTTTAACTCTGTTAATTGTTTCTTTTGCTGTGCAGAAGCTTTTCAGTTTGATATAATCCCATTTGTTTATTTTTCCTTTGGTTGCCCATGCTTTTGGAGTCGTATTCATGAAGTCTGTGTACAGTCCTACTTCTTGAAGTGTTTCTCCTATGTTTTCCTTAAGAAGTTTTATTGTTTCAGGGTGTATATTTAATTCTTTAATCCATTTTGAGTTGATTTTGGTATATGGTGAGAGGTATGGGTCAAGTTTCATTCTCCTGCATATGAATATCCAGTTATCCCAGCACCATTTGCTGAAGAGGCAGTCTCTTCCCCAGTGTATAGGTTTGGTGCCTTTGTCAAAGATCAGAGGCTGTAGGTGTGTGAGTTGATTTCTGCATTCTCTATTCCATTCCATTGATCAGTGTGTCTGTTTCTATGCCAGTATCATGCTGTTTTGGTTAATATAGCTTTGTAGTATAGTTTAAAGTAAGGTAGTGTTAAGCCTCCAGCTTTCTTATTTTTTTTTTTTTGATTGACACTTAGATTGGTTCCAACTCTTGGCTATTGTAATAGAGTTGTGATGAACATGGGACTGCAGGTATCCCTTTAACTTGATGATTTCCATTCCTTTGGCTGCATACCTGGAAGAGGGACTGTTGTGTCATATGATGGTTATATCTGTAGTTGTTTGAGAAACCTCCATTCTGTTTTCCATAATGTTTTCATCAATTTGCAGTCCCACCAACAGTGTAGGAGGGTTTCCCTTTCATTGCATTCTCACCAACATTTCTTATTCTTTGTCTTCTTTATATTAGCCAGTCTAAGTGGGGTGAAATATCTCAATGTGGTTTTCATTTGCATTTCCTCGATGATTAGTGACGTTGAGCATTTTTCCAAGTACCTTTTGGCCATTTGTATGTTTTCCTTAGAAAAATGTCTGTTCAGATACTTTGACAGTTTTTAAACAGATTTTTTTTATACTATAAAGTTGTTTCAATTCCTCGTATCTGCAGACTAAAAATATCAGGATACTAGGTGACTTATATAGTATGATCCCTATAATACATGACAAGGTGAAATGCTTTCAAATGCATTTTGTGGCCAGCTTTTAATGAGTGGGAAATATTAAAACCAGCTGCATAAAACATGTTACTAGTTAGTAAGAGCCAACACAATCCAGACATTCCTGGATAATGAAGTCGGTATGTTATTTAACTTTTTCGTCTTTTGTAAGCTTGCAACACTAACAGTCTCAGCATTTTGAAATTCATTTAATAAAATACAAATAATCCCTGGAGGAGCCTTGGAACTATGTCATTAAAGAAGAAAAAAAAAAAAAATGGGCTTGAGGGGTCTGTGAGCTCCAGACCCAGCCCTAGCTCAACAATTGACCCAGTTGGCTTGGAGCTAGACAATTGGTGCCAAGAAAAGGATTAAGAACTCCACATTATGGAATGTACTCATCACAAATAAATGATTAAATTTAATAATGACGAATTTCCTTACTACCCTGATTTAACCATCACGTACTGTGTACATGTATTGAATTTGAAATTCGACTGTGTACGCCTCAAATATGTACACTCAATACAATCAAGAAACAAACAAAAAAAGGGCCAGCCCATGGCTCACTTGGGAGAGCATGGTGCTAACTACATCAAGTCAAGGGTTAAGATCCCCTTACAGGTGATCTTTAAAAAAAAAAAAAAAAAAAAAAAAAATTGCGGTACGAGCAGGGTAGTAATCAAAGAAGCTCGCATTAAAAATAATTCTTCGTCACTCTTCTGGCTATCGCATTGGCCCAGAGATTTAAGGAAAGAAAGAGTGGGAGCCACAAGGCAGCCCCAAAAGAGCTGTGCCTCTGTAGTCTGTTTTGACTCTCCAGCGCGTTTTTTCTTTACGCGAAAGGCGGGGGAAGAGCGGAGCTGGCGCTTTTGTGGATTCATACTGCCACCAAATGGCCAAAGTTTCACCGAGCGCCGAACAAGGTCTGGGAGGCCATTCTCTTTGCCGCCCGACTTCTGCTCTTTAGACCTGGAGTAGTCCAGTGAGGGACCTGAACAAGAAAAACGGAAAGGGGGAAGCGACAGCAGTCTGGGCAGGGAGCCCGCCAAGCAGCGAGTGGGGGTGCCCCGGAAGTTGATTTGCAGTTGCCAGGCGGACGGTCTCCTGAGGTTCCGCACCCGAAACCACAGCAACGGCAGCAGGAAGTTCCCGCTGTTCGAGCGCGGCCGCTCCGGGGACCGGAGCGCGGCGGCTGATGGGAAGTGTGGACGTGTTTGTCAGGGCTGTACGGGATTCGGCCCGCTCCTTCGTACCCACCGCCTGAATTTATTTTGTGGACGGTTTCTTCTGTTCCCGTGGTAGCGGACATTACTGGGAGGAATGAGAGCGAGGAGGAGGAAGACGTTAGTCCTCGGACCCTTTCTAAGAGTCATCTTGAAGAGTAACGCGAAGATGGACACGCTGCGGCCTGCCTGGGCATGCACATTAGGGCTGTACGGAATTCCCAAGCCAGGTGTGTCCTCTCTGCCTTAAAGCTATTTGGCGGGAAGTTTCTCCTGTTCCTTTACTTTGTGGGTCAGGGCCTGGGTGCTCGAGTGGGAGAGAGAGAAAGCCAGCTAGCCCCGGAGCCCCTTCTAAGGGCGTCATCCACCCAGCCATCCATACATCCGTTCACTCATGAACCAAATACTCACTCGTTGAGCATCCGTTACGTACCGGACACAGTTTTCGACCCTGGGGACCCAAGACACATAAAGACCCAAGGGCCCCGTTCTCAGGGACGATTCATTCTAGTGGGTGGAGACAGACAATAAGCAAATTATCGACTTAATTTCAGAGAGTGACAAGTGGTAGTAAGGAAATAAAACGGAGTTGATATGACAAAGAAATGCGGTGGATGTATACCGATTTAGAGAGACTAGGTGGTCAGATTCGGCCTCTTCTAGAAATGACAGTCGAAGACAGTAGGAATGGTCCTGCAAGGCTTTGATGACCTTGATAAGGGTGAAGGCTTCTTCCTGTTTTTACATTGTCCCATGCCTTATTAACAGAGATTTAGATTACCACAAAATATAGATATGTTTGCTGCGTCATTCCCTGCAGTTGCTCCTAGACTCTCAAAAGTAGCATCAGAATGGAAAATTCTGATAGAAGGGCTTAGTGGGATCGGGAAGTGCCAGCACTACAGCGTGGACAACAAAAGCTGTTAGGTTAGGGTTTTTGAGCACCTAGGTTAAAGGCCTCTTTCCACTGAATTCCAAATGGCCTCCTTTCTGTAGAGGTCCTGGGATCTTATCCTTCCAGATTAGGGCACTATGGGGCTTTGCTTTGCTGTAATGGAGGAGTGTGTCACAGGAGGACTTCCAGTAGTTATCAGTGGAAAGCCGGTGGAATTTTAATTCTGGATAAGAGTTTGGAATGGGCCCCACAGTACAGTATGTCCTACGTAGTTTTGGAGGCTTCATAGAATTGGCACAAGTGACCAGGACTGTGAAATTTTAAGGAATCCTGTGGCTCGGCGTAAAGGTGAAACTATGATAACAGCCTCATACATTGAGTTAGAAAAAAAAGAAAAAGAAAAGAAAAAATGCGTATTCTCTGGTGGACAGCAATAGGATCCCCTCAGTCATGCCTGGTCTGGAGGAAAGAGGGGAGTTGAAAAGCTATAGACCCACCACTAACTGTGGTTCTCCTTTTGTAGGTGCGGGGTGCCCAGTGAAGGGAGATCCCCAAAATAAGCCTCCTGAAAGAATGGCTATAATAAGATCCAGGGTTTGACAGTCCAAGCTAATATCCAGGGGCCCTTGACCAAATGACCTGAGAAAATCGGATCTGAGGCAAAAGAAGTGTAACTAGACTAAGCGGAAGCGAGGAGAATGGACTAAGTAGGTGGGGGAGGGGGGGTTGGGCAGGAGAGGGTGGGACTGGCAGGTGGGTTGCTGTAGTATAAGGTAGAGACTGGAAAGAGTTCCTGATGCCCTGTTAGAAGGCATCTACCTACTTGCCTTGAGTTGGAATATCGAGGACACCCAGTTGGTTTAGTCCAGGGCGGCGGCAAGGCTTTGCCCTGTTGTGTTGGGTGGTAGGTTGCAGTTGACTGTGACTTCAGTTCTTTCTACGATCAGCCCCTGCCTTTTCTCCCAGTACGGGCCTTGACAGGATTCGTTCTCTGTGTGTTGAATACTGAGATTTAAGATTATCCGTACTTCGCATATAGTTTAGCTACATTATTTTGGGGACAGAATTCCCTGTAGAGACAGGGGAAGGGGGAGGTTAGAGGAGGATGAAATGTCTGCCATAGTATGTTCTGATCCACAAATAATAATAATCGCCTATATCCATTCAGGGCTTTCTCCATATTCCCTCATTTAATCTTCACAGTGACGTGGGAACACTGGTACTTTGATTATTTCCAATTTACATATGAAGAAACCAAGGCTTAGATAGTTTAAGCGATTTACCTGAGATTAAACAAATACAGCCATGGTTTCAGTCCAGTGTTGTCTGTAGCCCGGTGTTTCTGCAAGTGAGGTCCCCAGACCAGCAGCATCAGCATCACCTGGGAAATTGTTAGAAATGCAAATCTCGGACCTACTGAATCAGAAACTCAGGGGTCAGGGCCCAGCCATCTGTGTTTTCAGACACCTTTCAGGTGATTCTGATGAACACTCAAATTTCAGAACCACTGCTTTAGCCAGTGCCCCAGCTCTTAACCACTAGAGCTGAACTTTCCAAATTCTGATGTGCTTATATATCACATGCAGAGTTCTGATTCATGGGCTGGTCCGTGGACCATACTTTGAGTGCCAAGGCTCTGTGCTATACCGCACTATTGTGTGTCTTAGGTGAGCAGAGCTATTGACTAAGTGAAGTTTTAGTCTCTTTAAAGTCCTGATTTCTGAAAGTGGGCAGGCTATAGGATTCTTAATTGCCCCCACTCTGTTTATCTTTTTCAAATACTTGCCCGAACATAAAGGTGATAAAGAGAGAACTCAAGTGCCAGACCCTGTTCCCTCCTTCTGAGCATCATTCCAGAAATGCTGAGTCCCGACAGATTTCACTCGGAAGCTCTCTTTTTTGAGTGGAAGGAGAGCTGAGGGGCGGTCTCCGAGTATTCTCTGCCTGAATGAGATGAGATGTGCTAATTGGCCAAGGGGAGCAGCAGCACATGATCATCTTCAGTAACTTAAAATAATTTTCTGAAATATTGGAGGGGATTGCTTTGTTCTGAGTGAACTACTTGGATGATCTTATTACCAAACTACTGATTAAGAAGGCCAATGTGCTCCTGCAAATGTGTATGCGTAGGAGCCCTAAGAAATTTGTATTTGGAAAATGCCATATGTTCTTTGTTGCTAAACAAACTCCAACTAAAGAGCACACGTTGCTGGTTTCTAAGACATATGGGACCGCTTGCTAGGAAGCTACCTGTTCACCGTTTAAAATGTTTGGGGTGCATTTCTTGTATCTGTGGCAAGTGAGGACAAGCAGAAAACAGATTGTATTTGACCAGTGGCAGGGGAGGGGGGTGGAGGGCTGCTGTGTTGAATGGAAAGGGTGCCCAGGCATCTCCATGGCCCCTTTTATCTTCCCCAACCTCGTGGAGAGGGTGACAAGTAACACGTACACCAGGAGGAGGTAGTATGCCCTCAGGATATCCTTATTTTGGGCCAGACAGTACAGGAGTGTGAGATGCTGCTCCTTAAATCCCCGGCCCTCTTGGCTGAAGTGTTTCTAAAATTAGAACTTCATAGGTTCCAGCCCTTTAAGACCTCTGTAGAATATGTGAGGTAACCAGTATCCAAAAGTATAGCTCTTGTAGCCGCCACCAGGATACAGCCCACCAATGGTCAGGTATTAAAATTGTCCTCATTGAGGTTCAGTGGCTACATGAAACTCAGGTTGGCCACTGCTGTAGCTCACAGCAGTGCAGGCAGACAGAAGCGTCTGTATGATTCTCTGTGCGATGCCAGGAGCTGTAGGGGAGGGATCAGAATTGTGGTGGAATGTTCAGCCTCCCTGGCAAATGAAACTCAGGCAAAAGGGAGGTAGAGTATCTCCATCTGGTGGTGGCATGAAAGAGGACACTGCCTGGTGTACTGCATAGAGGCAGGAGTAGAATCTGAGCAGAATCAGTGGGATCCTAGATATAATCTCCCACCCACTGAGGAACTGGTGGGGAAGGCTGCCTCTCCACCTGCGGACCCAGGTACCTGGCTTCGGTTTAGGTTAGTGGCAGAGGGGGAGTGGGAGTCGCTTTTCCAGGCTGCTTTGCAGCCATAGCTTCAAATTCCTTGGGAAATTTGGTAGACTGTTTGATACACTGCGTGTGGGGTTTGCTTATAGGCCCAAGTTTAAGTATGTTTCAGCCACCTCTGCATGTAATTTGCCATCAGCCAACCCATAAGTAAGAAGATTTGAGGGAGGCCCCTTCTGGAAGAAACATCCATCCATACATCGTATGTATTTATACATATCCATAGAGACACACACACACACACACACTCTCTCTCTCTCTCTCCCTCTCTCCCTCCCTCCCTCTCTCCCTCCCCCCACCCAAGAGATTTTCTGTGTTTGGTTTAAAAGAAGTTCCGGTTTGAGGGAAGGGTATAAATTCCCACTGTCTGACATACTTAGACTGGCGATAGGTAGAGCTTTCTTTCCTCTTCTAGATATAGCGTGGCTCTTAGTTCCTTAATACTGGCATCGGGGTCTAGAATGAAGTGCTGTGGAGGAGGTGTAAATATCCATACAGCAGTTTGGACCAAGCAGGCCAGCAGAGCTTTGGAACTTGTTCATAAGCCAGCCCCTACTCCTGTCCCATTGGATATAAGATAGTGAGGCTTACTGCTGTCCCTTTTCATCCTCTGAATGCCCTTTCTGGCCTGTCTCTCACTTTCAGATTTGGGTCAAATGACCTAATTGCGTGAGCTCTTTCTCTGTAAGCAAAACTCAAAGTGCAGTTTTGCATAAGTCAGAAGTCCGGATGGAGTGTGTCCTATCCTATTATGTCTTTGGCCTATCTGTGCCTCTTCAGCATGACTGAAGAAGTAAGAGTAAACACAGATAACTTATTTCCTCACTTGGACCTATCCATGCCACCCTCTCCAGCAAGAGCAAACCTGTATTCAGAGACTGGAAGGCCAGCAAAAGCCACAGTTTTCTGACTGGTTCATAAAGAGTGAACACTACCTGATCTTGGAATACCCAGTATCTCTATCTATTTAAACTAAAACATCTTTCTGCCAGGTTTTTAGTCCAAATCATAATACCCAGTATCTCTACCTATTTAAACTAAAACATCTTTCTGCCAGGTTTTTAGTCCAAATCATCAAACTACTCATTTCTCTCATGCCTCCATCCCTGCCCTCCCTTCTATTTCACAGCCTTTTTTCTCTCTTCAGACCTCCAATACTGCCTCCACCCTCTCACCCCCACCCTCACTCTTGATTGGTGACCTTCCTTTCGAATTCATTGAGAAAATTGTGTAAGAGTCAGCCCAAATTAACAAGCCCAAGATTGAACTCTCCCATCTTCCCTTATAAACCTTCTTCACCTGCAGTATTCCCCGTCGCAGGTAACAGCAACTCTTACCTTTCCAGTCGTTCATGGCATAGCCTTGAGGGTGATCCTTCACTCCGCCCTTTTACTCACCCCTCATTTTGCATCTGTCCAGAAATCCTGTGAGCTCTGTCGTCAAAATAAATCCAGAATCTGACAGCTGACCACTTCTCACCACCTCCACTGCTACCGCCCGCCCCGTACCAAGCCACCGTCGGTTTTCCCCTGGATTACGGGAATTGTTTCCTGACTCTTTCCCTGCTTCACCCTCCCCCTCGCCCCCACTGATAATCTAGCAGCCAGAGTAATGCTGTTAAAACATATGGTCAGATCATATAATGCCTCTGCTCAAAACCAACAGCTCTCGTTTCATTCAGGGTAAATCGAGAATTTCTACAATTGCCTATGAGGCCATACGTGGTTTGGGCACTAGTTACCTCTCTTACCTTATCTCTTAGTACTCTCCTCCTTTCTCATTCCCCTCTGGCTGTGGGGACCTCCTTGTTGCTCCTAGAGTAGGGACTTTTGCACTCTGTTCTTTCTGCCTGGAACATTCTTTCCCCAGATGTCTGCATGGTTACCTCCCTCATCTCTCTCATGTCTTTGACTAAATGTCATCTTTCAGTGTGGCTCACCCCTAAACATCTTATTTCAGATGCCACCCCCACCCCCGTGCAAACACACACAATTTTCATTTACCCTGCTTTTTTTGTTGTTGTTCTTTCTTGAATGCATTTTCTTCTTTTAACATACTTCTTTCCTTGTTATGGTTGTTTGCTTGTTTCTGCCCACCAGAAGGTCAGCTCTGCAAAGCTGGGTTTTGTTGTTGGTTTTGTTTTGAGAATGTGTCCAATTGTTCACTAATTTATCCCTATAGTGACTGGCTTGTAGTAGGTGCTCCCTGAATGTCTGCTGAATGAATAAATATATATTACCGACGTCATCTGTTTTTACTCAATATTTTTTTGATCCAGTGAAGAATAAGAATGAGATGTTTATGTCCCCCACAGAATTATGTTTCTCTCAAAGAAAAATATTCCTAACGCATGTAACAGGCAAAGGGTAAATAACCCTGAGAAACAAACACAGACAGTAAATAACATACCAAACAGCAAAACACACAAGCAAAGAAAATGCATTAAGACACCCATAAATAAATGAACATTGTTCACAAGCAATTTGCTGGTGGTGGTGAGAGGAAGGAAACAAGCTACTTTTGCTTAACTGTGCTCACACTGAAGGTGCTGTTAAAAAAAAAAAAAAAAAAAAAAATCTCCGTGAATCACCTTGTGGAAGAGGAAGTTCACTCATTACACAATGTCCTCCCTAGGATGACTCGTGGGAGAAACTCATCTCAGGGAAAAAGCATAGTTGCTACTTCTGAGCAGTTAATTGATCTCAGGGACACTGTGAGTCCTGCAGGGTATCCCATTTCCCTCTTTATGTTTTGGCAGCTAGAAAACTTAGATCCACACCTGTGGCCAACTGGTAGTCAGTGCGTAGAACCTTATGACATGCACTTTGTGTTCGAATCAGTCATCTGATTAGACTTCCTCATTCTAATTTGGACTTGATTTCCTCACCCAACGTGCTTTTTAGTTCTTTGAATTCTTTGTGTGGATGTATTTTGTGAGTTTGGTAATTCCTCAGCTGAAAGCCCTCTGGTACAGGAGTTAATCCCTGGCTACCTCTCTGGCTTCCTTATCTACACTTTGTTCCCCCGCCCCCCATCGCTTCACTCACTCTGCCCTAGTCAAACTGGAATTGCCTTATACATTTAATAAAATCTTCTGTTTCTGGGGTGATTGAGCTACGTGATACATGACCAGACCCACAGATTTTTTTTTTTTTTTTTTTCCTTTTTACATTTTGTTGGCAAGATATCGTGGCTCTCTAAGTCTGCTCACTCCTTCTTCATGCCAACATTTGGAGAAAGCATACGAATGGTCTTCAAAATGTTCATGGAAAGATTCTTATTATCTTTTAATTCTGTTTTTCCCCAAACTTTTGGAAGTACCCTCATATCTGCCAATCATATCCTCAACTGGTATGTATGTTGCTACACTTCCCACCAGTAGCATGGCTGGCATACCTGTCTGGTCAGTGCTAAATTCTTGCTAACCATCTGCTATAGGTTTTATATTTGTCCCCTCCAAAGCTCATGTTGGGAGCTTGATTCTCAATCTTGGAATGTTGAAAGGTGGGGTCTTTAAGAGGTGATTAGATCGTGAGTACTGTGCTCTTATGAATGGATTAATCCATTCGTGGAATAATGGGTTAATGGTTTAATGGGTTACCATGGGTGTAGACTGGTGGCTTTTTGAGGAGAGCACATGAAAAAGCTCTGGCCGTTCTCACCATGTGATATTCTGCATCACTACAGGACTCTGTAGGGAGTTCCCACCAAGAAGGAGGCCCTCATCAGATATGACTCCTGGATTTTGGACGTCCTGTCCTCCAAGACTGTAAGAAATAAATTTCATTTTTTAAATAAATTACCCAATTTCCAGTATTCTGTTATGAGCAACAGAAAACAGACTGATCTGCGGAGAAATACGATCACCAGCCCAAGCTCAGGCCACTGGATTGGTGATGACAAATACCTTTCATCCTAACACATCCATATTGCCTGCCAGAAAAAGAAGCTGTGAGACTATCTACTGGGTCCTTTCTAGAAAACAACAACCATCACCCTTGTGGCCGTCCATCTCTGGTTTTCTCTCTCCATACCAATCCACCGAATTTCCTCAGCACCTTCCTCGGGCCTATCCAGATGACTGTCCTCTTCCGATCTTTGCCTTTGTACCTCCATATGCCTTTGCCCTGCTTCAACATGTGAAAAGAGCATACGAGGGGTTCTTCAGAAAGCTCATGGAAAGATTCTTATTATCTTTTAATTCTGTTTTTCCACAAAACGTAATTTGCAGGGCAAAGGCATATGGAGGTTGTCATGGTGCAGCTGGTTTGCCAGTGTCTTGGGCAAATAAATTTTGTGTTCCCTTCCAGTCCCATCTATGCTAGACTGCCCCTCCAAATTCCAGATTCCAAGGTCCACCGCCAGTGACCTTAGAGTCTCAGAGAAGTCACAGAAGGAAACAATTTGCAGATTGGGACACTGAAGCAAAGAAAGGGGCAGCCACTTGTACTAAACCATAAAGTAGGGCCGGCCCGGTGGCGCACTGGAGAGTGCGCAGCTTGGGAGTGCAACGGCGCTCCCGCCGAGGGTTCGGATCCCATGTGGAGACCAGTTCCCGCTCACTGGCTGAGCGCGGTGCGGGCGCAACACCAAGGGTTGCGATCCCGTTGCTGGTCAGTAAAAAAAAAAAAGACAAAAAGGAAAAAAAAAACCCCCCAAAAAACATAAAGTAAACTAGCAGCAGTATCACAGAGGTCTCCTGACTCCCAGAGCAAAGATCTTTTTTACAAAACGTCCTAGCTCCACTTATCTTTAGCTGATCAGGGCAAGTAATTTAACCTCTTCAAGCTTCAGCTTCCTCATCTATAATGAGGGGGTAATAACAGTACCCATCCCATCAAGCTGTTATAACGAACCAGCGCCTGGAAAACACTTAGCAAAGTCCCTGACCACTGTAAAAGCTCAATGAATATTAACCATTATTATTATATTGGATCCATCTTGTCCACCTGCCAGGATGCAACAGGCCACCAGCTGCATCCCTATTGTCACTTCTACATCCAGCCTCCCATCTTGCACATACACTTTGAGTTTGCAAGTTCTAGTTTCTCCATGGCTATAGAAAGGAAGCTAGTATAGGTGAGAAGGAACAGAAGGAAACACATCTCTTGAACTACCTCGGAAATCAGTACTCATAAAGTTTGAGAGAGTTGGCAAAATTTCTGATTGGTATAATTCTTCTGTTCCTGAACCAGGAGTCAAAGACTGAGAGACGAATAAAGCTTATGGGATATTGAAAAGAGTTCCAGTTTGGAATCTGGAAGGCCTGTTGTTTGAACCTCAGCTGTGCCTGTCATATGGCCTTAAGCAAGTAAGTCACTTCAGCTTTCTGAGCCAGAGTTTCTTCACTTGTCATATATGTCTCGTAATACTACATACTCACAGGATCTTTGTGAAGAGTCCTGAGGGAGAAGCGTGTGTGTGTGCACGTGCATGCACACACACATATACTTTCCGCCACGTATGGTAAGTATTCAGTAATTGGAAGCTACATTACTTACTTTAGAGTTAATGGGAATGTTTCACACATTCTGGCAATAGGTTCCTTGTCAGTCTTACTTTTCAGGGTTGCTGCAAACTTTTCTCCCCTTCTGGGTCTTCTTAGGTATTTTTGTCAGAAGCTGGGGGAGGCAGCTTCAAGGACTGTTCATCAAAAGCCTTCTTAAACTGGAAGCCCGTAAATAAAAATAAAATAAAGACATGTGATGATTTTTTCACCAATTGTAATGACGACAACAACAACAACAAAACCCACAAAAGTTTCATAAAGTGCTCTGTTAGCAAGGCTATGGGAAACTCTTATGCATTGTTGGTGACAATATGATTTGGTACACCCTTTGAAGACAATTTAGGAAGTCTAGCAAATTATGAACGCGTAAAGCCTCTAACCCGGCACTTTCACCTCTGGAAATTTATCTCACGGACACACCAGTATTTATACACGTTTGAAATAACATATGTGCCAGGTTGTTCACTGCAGCGTTGTTTGTAATAGCAAAACCAAACGTCTGTCATTAGAGCGCTCATTAAATAAATTATACAGCAAAGCTATGAAAAAGAATGAGGAAGCATTCTGTATACTGACCCGGGGAGACCAACAAGATACATTGTCACGCAACTAAAAAAAGTGTTCAGAAAAGTACATATTGTATACTACATATTGTACAAAAATGGATGGGGGCCATCTCCTTATTTGAACACACACACACACTTGAAGTTTACAGAAAAAACAAATAACAATGGTCAACTGTATGTGTGAGGGGGGCAGGTAGGAATTGGGTAGATGGAAGATTAAGTTGGGAGGGACACTTTTCACTGTATACCTTTCCTTATTTTTTGTTTTTTGATACATGTAATATATTACCTTTTTGTGGAATATACTAAAAAGCATATGTACTTCACAGGGCCTGGTTTTCCAAAGCCTTGCAGTTTCAAATATTGACCTTGCAAGGACAGGAAATTTTCCCCAGTCTAGTGAGTCTTTGTTGCAAGATAAGAATTGTGGCACAGCAGGTTGCTGGCTCAAAGACAGACTAGTTACTGATTGTTATGTAAAGGTACTGAGAAACTGCTAGAGGGAGAAGGAATGCTTGCTAAGATCAAGCTTGTGTTGATAAGACCACTTAATTGCCTTACCGGAATGTCATCTGGCTTGTTTCACTGAAAGTTACCAGCCTGTATTGTTAAACTATAACCCCACCTTTTTTCTCTTCCTGTAACTTCCTGGTCTGGAAAATAAATGCAGGAAGAGAACCCCAGTTCGGTGTTAATTTCCCAAGGAAGGGATCCCTCTCGCTTGAGGGTTCCGGCGGGAGATTAACCACTTTGGGGCCTCTCACTGCTCAGAAGAGATGG